TGCGTTTTCAAAAATCCCCTATCGTGAACCAAAAATCCCCGGTCGTGAACCAAAATCCCCGGTCGTGACCCAAAAATCCCCGGTCGTGAACCAAAAAATCCCCTGTCGTGACCTAAAATACCCTACCGGGTATTTTGACCGGGGATCGCAAACGCAGGCTGTTAAAAGCCTGTTTTGTGCGTTTTTGCAAAGGGAGAGCTGGGTTTTGGGTCCCAAACACCCAAGGGACGAACCAAAGAGAGAGAGGGCGATTTGAGGGCATTCTTGGAGTGGAATTGGAGGATTTCTTTGCCTTGGAAGCTCGAGGAACAAGCCCGGACTTGAAGACTGATCATCTGAAGATTCTTACTGCAGTCTCTCTCTTCTCTATGGAGTAACTTCCCTTCACTTAGGTTTTGAGGAACCCTAGCTATGTTTGTTTGATTGGATGATTGTATGAGTGCTCTGACTTGATAATCTTGAGTTCATATTCAATCTATGCATGTTTTCATGATTCAATTCTGCTTTAGTCGAGATTATTGATTCTGCTTTGATCCTATGAGAGGGAATACCTGATTAGGTCAATAGAGCACCATAGATTGATAGTAGTGGATCGATTGCTTTAGTCGAGGGTTGATTCACTGCTTTGTATCGATTGAGAACCTCTTTCGATAGAGGGTGTCTAGTTCAGAACGCCTTGATCAGTTGTTCTAGAGAAGGATACGTCCCTCTAGGCAATTAACTCAAGAGGGCCTTGTTCCTTTAGTCTAGACTCAAGGTCTAGTCAAGGATTCTCCGCATTGTGAATGAAAGTGAAACAAGTTAGAAATCATCAATCGTTAGTCTGGCTAGTGGCTAGTGGCTAGGGGGAATCATACCTAAGTGAGTTCCCAACCTGTAATTAGATTAACTTTAACTGTAGTTTGCTAGAGTAGTTTTAGTTCTTTCATCTTAATCTGGTTTGCTAAATAATAAACTGAAGCTGAGTAATAGTAACTCTAGAGACCCGTGGATTCGATATTTATCTCTTGAGCCACTATACTGCATGCCCTTCCATTGGTTACACTTGGCCATTGTTAGGTGTTGTGTTTTAGCGAATCAATGAGCCTTTTTTTTTGTCCCGGGGTTTCAGGAAATGGTCCTCAGAAGTCCATTCCCCATTGGGCGAATGGCCATGGACTTATATTTCCTTGCATTGGCCCAGGCGGTGCATGTGGCACTTAGGCAGCAATCTGGCATTTGATACAAGATTTGACGTAGTCTCGTGTATCTCGATGTATAGTAGGCCAGTAGTATCCCTGCCGGAGAAGGATTTTCTCGAGACTTCAATGAGGAGCACGCCTCCGAAGTTTCATGGCTTCTCTAGGGTCAGTGGGTAGAAGGTCATGTTGGAGATACTCTATGAGGGGTGTGCGCCAATCTTGTGGGGTTGATGATGAGATAATAGGAGCGCACAAAAAAGGAGGGCGACACTCAACTACCACATTCCTGTCATCGGGGAAGTCTCTGGCGGTGGTAAGCTTCGAGAGAGCATCCGCATGGATATTCTCTTCTTGTGATACGTGTTTTATCTCAACATGTGCAAACTTGGCTATACTAGTCCGAGCGGCGTTGACATAGGCGGTTAGTGCGGGTTCACGAGCCTCGTATGCCCCCGGAATCTGGTTGACGACAAGGGCAAAGTCAGAGTGCACCAATATTCGTTGGACTCCTAGTTCTTGCGCCATGGTCAAGCCAGCTAGGAGGGCTTCATATTCAGCAGCATTATTAGTTTTGGAAGTTGTGAAGCGGACAGCCAGCTCATGGGTAACATCCAATGGACTGATGAGAAGAACTCCTGCTCCAGAGCCGGCTTTGCTTGAAGCTCCATCCACAAATAGCCTCCATGTTTCTTACTCGGAAGGTGTGGTAGCTCGAATGCCCTCAGCCACAAAGTCAGCAAGCACCTGTGATTTGATGGCTGTACGAGGGAGGTAAGTGATATCATACTCACTTAATTCAATGGCCCAATTGATCATTCGACCCGCTACGTCCATACGTTGGAGTAGCCTTCGAAGTGGCAATTGTGTGAAAACACAAATAGCGTGACTCTGGAAGTATGGGCGTAGCTTTCTGGAGGCCACGACCACAGCTAAAGCAGCCTTTTCAACAAGCGAATACCTGGTCTCAGCATCAAGTAGTGTTTTACAAGTATAATATATAGGATGTTCCGTGTTGTCAGCATCTCGGCGAAGAAGTACCGAGCTCACTACCTTCTCGGACACGGCGAAATACATGAAATGGGTTTCATTATTCACCGGGGCAGAAAGTACCGGAGGTGTCACCAGAAATTCTTTGAGCTTAGTAAAAGCTTTTTCGCACTCAGGTGTCCACTCAAAGTGTTTCCCAGCACCCTTCAAAGTGGCAAAGAATGGGGCACAACGATCGCCAGCACGAGAGATAAACCGATTGAGTGCGGCGATGCGACCGGTGAGAACTTGTACTTCTTTGCCTCTGGTTGGGGAGGACATTTGGAGTATGGCATCAATTTGTCGAGGGTTGGCCTCGATCCCACGCTGGGTTACCATAAACCCTAAGAAATTTCCATCAGTCGTCCCAAAAACGCACTTCTTAGGGTTGAGGCGAAGGGCATATGCACGAAGTGTGTTGAATGTTTCTCTAAGGTCTTCTAGATGCTCGTTGATACTGTTACTTTTTACCAAGATATTATCAACGTATGCTTCCAGGTTCCGTCCAAGTTGACATGGAGAAGACACGATCAACCATTCGCTGATAGGTGGCTCCAGCATTTTTTAAGCCAAAAGGCATAACTTTGTAGCAGTAATTACCAACCGGGGTCATGAATTTCGTTCTTTCTTGATCTTACTTCTTCATGGGAATCTGGTGATAACCAGAGAACATGTCGAGGAAAGAAAGAAAGCGGTGTCCAGAGGTAGCATCAATCAATCAGTCAATTTTTGGAAGAGGATATGGGTCTTTTGGGTATGCCTTGTTGAGGTCGGTAAAGTCTATGCACATCCTCCACTGCCCATTGGCCTTTTTTACCATAACAACGTTGGCCAGACAGGTGGGGTAGAGGATTTCTTGGATGAGTCCTGCTTGAGTGAGCTTGACTATTTCTTCTGCAACAGCTTGAAGTCGTTCCCACGCGAAGTTCCTTCTCTTTTGTTGTATAGGGCGACACCCTAGAAGAACCCCCAGGGCTTGTTCAGCTACCTGGCGATTAAGTCCAGGCATGTCTTCGGGACCTTGGGCAAGTAGCTCCTTAAACTCTCGGACTAAGTCGAGAAGTTGAGGACGAGCTTCCTTAGGCCCTGAGGTTGAGACGCGGATGGTAAGGTCATCTTGAATAGCTTGTTCCTCATCAAGGTCAACAGGAATAGGGCGAGCTATCTCTTCTCGAGTGTCGACGGTAGTGACATGTCTATCATTGAGGGAGGATGCACAACATCGCTTAGCGATTGATTGATCCCCTAGGACACAGCCTACTCCAGACGGAGTAGGAAACTTCAATTTGAGATGAAGTGTAGAAGGGACGACGCGAGTTTTGTGTAGAAACGGTCTTCCAAGAATTCCGTTGTATGTAGAGGAACAGTCAACCACGTGAAAGTTAACCAACGTCCAGTTGTTTGGTCGCCATTGCCGATGCGAACGTGCAGAGGTAGAGTTCCAAGTACTGGGACTTGGTTGCCAGAGAAACCCAAAAAAATAGATGCTGGAAGGTTGACAATGATCCAAGCGAAGACCCAATGAGCAGAAAGCAGGGTAAAAAAGTAAGTCGGCTGAGCTCCCTCCATCAACGAGAACTCGTTTCACGGTGGAATTGGCGATGGTAGCCTCAATTACCAGAGGGTCATCATGGGGATATTCGATATCCTCGAGGTCCCGAGAATCAAAAAATATGGGATCCTGATCAGAGATAGTTGAGGCGGATCCGATCAAAGCTCGGGCGTAGGACTTACGGGAGGTGGAACATTCCTGTCGTAGTCCAGTTCCTCCATGTATGACTGGGACGAAACCTAACACCGGTCCGCTTCCCTGTGGAGTTTTTCCTTTGTCCGATGACAAAGGTTGTTGGATTGAGCCTTTGGAGCTTTGGATGAACTGCTTAAGTTGTCCATTTTGAATTAGCCCCTCGATGGATCTTCTCAAATTTTTGCATTCCTCGGTGTCATGCCCGTATCCCCGATGAAAGTCACAAAATTGGTTCTTTCCATTTCTTGGTTTTATGCGACCTCGAGGTGGCCATGTCACTGGAAGCTTTTTATCTTGAATGACCTAGAGAATAGTCCTTCGTGGATTGTTGAGAGGGGTGAAATTTTGGCCTGAATGGAATGGTCCATCCCTTGTGCGATCATCTTTTTGAGCCTTGGGCATGTTATCCAAAGTTGGACGGGGGCGTTGTAAAGTTTCTCGGTTCGGCGGAGGCGAATCCCTCCTACGCTTTGGCACCACGTAGGAGGAATCTTGTAAAGCTTCTTCTAGACCGATGTACTTCATAACCCGCTCTTGTAGCTCAAACATACTCCGAGGAGATTTCTTGATGAGGAATGCCCGAAGAAGACTGTTTGTTGTTCCTCATGTCACCGTGTTGACAATTACTTCAACAGAGAGGGAAGTGACGCCTATAGCCAAGGTGTTGTACCTAGCATAATATGCTTTTAAAGCCTCACCCTCTCGTTGCTTGGTATTCATGAACTGATTAATGCTCACTGCCTGTCGCTTTTGGGCGTAAAACTTGCACCGGAATAGTGTGGAAAATTCGGTGAAGTTGTTGATGATACCATCACGAAGCTGAGAGTACCATCGACGAGCGTCTCCTCCAAGAGTGGCGGGAAATATTTTACACATGGTGGCATCAGAGGCACCAATAAGAGGCATCAATATCTCAAAGGAACTGAGATGATCTTCTGGGTCGGTGGTGCCATTGTACTCCGGAAGGTTGGGTATATGGATATTTCCTGGGTATGGCTCATTTAGAATGGCCAAAGCCAGGGGCCGACCGGTACTTGGTTGAGAAAATGTCCCCGCGGGAGGGAGTTCTTCGAAGTGAGGAACAACTGGGGGGACATCCCGGGCCGCTGCTTCAGTTGCTGCTGGTATGCCATTCCGATGGTCGTTGGAGGATCCAGGGAGTCCCGTACTCCCGTAGAAAGTTGGTAGAGGGACCGGTGGTGGTTGTGGAGCCTCCGTTGCAGACCGAATATGAGCACGAAGTCGCTCAATTTAAGCCTGCAAATCTTCAACCCTTTGGGATGGTAGAGTTTGCTCAGGGTTTGGACTTGAACATTGACCGATGTCAACTTGCAGTTGTGAATTTGTTGTATCCATCTCGACTGGTTGAATTGGCAATCTGAAGGTAGTAATCTCACCGGGCCCCACGGTGGGCGCCAATTCTTGATGCCAAGCTAAAATAGCCGACCTCGAACGTTGTAGAGTCCGGAGAGCGTTGACCTTTTGGTTGGCGTTGAATTCCAGCTCTCGAGATGAACACCTGCAAAAAAGGACCCGCCGGTTGTGGTCGGTAGGGACCTTCTCCAAAGCTCAAATCAGTATTTGGAAATAACCGGGAGCGGCATATTGAGCCGGCTCTAGGACGAAAGAAAAAGAAATTTCGGGGTTGGAAGTTGCCAATTCGTCGAGAAGAAGTTCTTCGGGAATTCCCCTTTTCCGATCTCGTTCAGAGAAAGCGAGTTCTCTCGATTGGAGATGGATTGCCGAGGAAACATAAATGATCGTCCTATTTATAGGTGCCTCCTGCTCCTGGAATGGGTGGCGTGCCCTTTATTAATTGAAAAAGATTTTAAAAAAGAACTCACCTTGATGCGTGTACACCTATTTCATCTCATCATACTCACACCTTACGTGCATAACAAATGAAAGGGGATGGGTGGTTTGACTTTGATGGAAGGTCTGCATAACAATAGATTAATAGGATTTGGTTGTTTGGGAATTAAGTTTTCGTGTCTCACTAACAGCTACGGGTTAGTAATTAATATGAACAAAATGGAATGGGCTGCTGGAGTTATCACCTTGTGCATTTACGTTAGCTTTGCATGCATGTGATGGTGTATTCTCCCCATTTCTTCATGTGTAATTACAAAAAAGAAAGTAACATAACCAATTTGGTGAGATAATTGGTTGATGGAACATATACAACCTCTTGCTACGTGTATGTAATGGGCAAAGCTGTCAAGTGAGGGGTTAATTAGAGGGACTAGGCTTATGAGTAGGTTAGCCTATATACACGTGTAATCAAAGTGAAGTTGGGGTTTTTATTTGTGGGTAAAGGTTGCCATTCACCAAACTTAACAAAGATGGCTTGCTCTTCTGTTCCATGTAAATGAGATAGGTGGAGGGAAGCAAATAAGGATTGCCATCCACATGGAACTATGGTGGTTATTATTATATGTAGGTGGTAGCTAGGGTAAATGGTGGATGGTGATTGTTTTGCTTCCTTTTCACCTTTAGCCACGTGGGTAGTATCCTGTCAATCTTTCTTTACCCTTTGTCCATGTGGAAAGAATAGGTTGTGAATGACGATTGGTGGATGGAGTAGAAGAAGTGGGAAGCAATTTATTCGACCCATCACATACATACATAAATACCATACCATACATACATACATGTCAATTGGCAAAAACAATATGCCCAAGTACCATTACCCAGCAATCACCATTCATTAAATTCCATCCATAAAAGGGCCCATCCTAACCTTACTCCTTTATTTATCCTCATCTCTATCTCCTACTCTTTACATCCACACAATGCACCCGAACCGACAAAGGAAAGCAAACTAGAGGGTTTCTCCAATGTGAAATTTACAAATCTAGTAGAAAGGAAAGCTAAACTGCAAAAACAAACAAACCCCAGTTGGCACAACAAACATCCGAAGGCCAAAGGTTCCAGTTTCTTTCTTTCGACTTGACTCGGAGAAATTCCAACAACAAAAAATTTGCCAAGGAAAAGAAAACGGGAACTTTCTGAAGAAAATTGATTTTGAGAAACGAAATCCGTAACTCCTTTGATCACATCACAAGGCACCCATGTCAGAAACCCAAGAGAGAAGCAATAAAGGATTGGGATGGAAGACCCACCACCATTGTCAAGGTTATTTCTGCTTGTGCTTTCTCACATACGAATGAATGAATGAATGAAAGAAAGAACACCCAGACATATCATATGAACGCATAAATGGAGTTGCAGGAAACTTACAACTCGCTCAAGTGGATCAGAGGAGGTGTTGAGCCGACTCGGAATCACAAGGACCGAGTTGAAAGCGAGTCGAGACGGTGGTGGGCGAGTGGTGGTGTTACTGCCACAAGTGGAAAGAGAGAGATGGAGAAGATGAGCAGAGAAGAAAATCCCGCCTTGGCCGTTCATCTGTTGCTATTTATAGTAAAAAATGTCAAAATTGTTACAACTACTTTTGGAGATATTAAATTTCTGTGCACTCATCTGCAGCCACGCGTTTGTTGTTGTTAAGATGTATTGGGGGTAAGGACTTATTTCTAGATACCATCCCACCTGCACATTTCTAGTTTTGATCAAAGGATTGTTTGGAGTTTGTATGATGGATTCATTAACGTTGTAATTGTCTCATCTCAATTCTCATAGCCACATAAAAATGCATTATTTTATAATACTCGCTTTCTTCTTGTCGATTAAATTTATGAAAAATGAGATAATTCAAATTGCCTCGTACGAATTGTTGCATTGATTCCTATTTTGTGTTGCCAAACGAGGTTATAATTACTACATTTTAAAATAATTTTCTCAAATTACCTCATCCAATTCCATCATTCAAACGAACCTAGCTAGTGCATAATAATTCATTATTAACCTCTTTGTATGCACAAACCAGCTGCTAAAATTTTGTCAAAGTGTATTAAATATTTATGGCCTTTTCTACTCTTCATATTGATTTTGTTGTCTCGGTTTTTTGGTGGCTAAAGTGCAAGGATGACCATTAAGGATTGTTTGGATGAGGATAATTGAAAAATGAGATAGTTTGGTCAATTGTTTGATCATCTGACAAAATGAGTCATTTAAACGAGTCAATTTGAAATTCTCTGGGCAGAATTGCTTCATCTAAAATTTGTGCTACCAAACGGATCAATTATTAGGGTCAGATTGTCTCAAAACGAAACAATTAGGTCAAATTGATCTGTTAAAATTCCTCATGGATCCCTAATTAATACTGAGGCAATAATTATTACATTTACTTCCAACTTTTGTTATGGCACTTTGGAAGAAGAATTAACTTCTATAGGTTTCAATAACTCGAGTTGTTGAGAGCGGGCGATAACCATATCTTATGCTTTAATCAACGGTTAATCTTTAAGGTCGTGGAAATTCAAACATTAGCCAAACCAGCTCCAACACCATGTCATATACCACCTAGTATCAATAACTCGAATTATATATTGGTACTAGGTTATTATAGATCTTATACCTCTCTCTCAAACACAGAATTTATACCTTAATTACCACCATATACGGTAACATGCATATGGTGGTTTAGTATATGATCAATGACGATATCGACTGACGAACGTTCTTACTGATCTCCTCCCCTTTCGTCGGCCTCCAACCCTAAGTGTCCTCAGAAACCAGTGATAATTCCTCGACACCACGACGTAACCAATCACAATGCCAACAACGGTTCCACTCCCGTAACCCATCAACACAGGTTCCCAACCAAACTCAAACCCATATCCCGTCGGCGATCCACCTGCATCTTCTGTCTCCGACGACCCGTTCGCACACATCCTAGACAAAGGGGTCCCGCAGAGACCAACGTTGCCGCCGTATGAGTCATTCAGAAACGTGCCGAACTGGTTTCCCCTCGGTATAGCTCCAACGAGTTGGTTGCAGGACACATTGAAGACCGCCAGGAAATTCAGCTGGGTCAGCTCCTGAGGAATCGACCCGTCGAGCTTGTTTCTCGTAACGTCCAGTGATTCCAGCCTCGAGAGCCTCCCGAGAGATGGCGGGATGGGGCCGGTGAGAAGGTTGTTGGACAGATTGAGGAGGCGGAGCCCTGCTAAGTTCCCGACCGCAGCAGCAGGAATCTCTCCTTGGAATCTGTTGTCGGAAAGATCGACGGCGACCAACTTGTGCATGATCTTGGCATATGTGGTGACGGTGCCTTTGTTGGTCAAGGTCATGGTGTACCAGAAGTTGAAATACAAGTACCATGCAGCACTGGATAGGAAAGCACCGGTTTGTAGTTGCAGGTAGGCCAAGGTCTCAGCTTCGAATCCTTTCATGGCGTCCCAGTTTAGGAAATAGTTTGAAGGCAGCTGCCCTGTGAAGTAGTTGCTGGATAGATCGATGATTTGCATCCTTGCGAAGTCGTGAGTACTAGTATTACTACGACTTTTTCCTCCTGCTGGTATTATCGCTCCATGGAACAGATTCCCTCTTAGAATGAGTACTTGGAGTTGTGGAAGGGCTCCCAAATAGTAAGGGAAAGTGTCGTTGATCTGGTTGTTCCCCAAGATTAGGAACTCTAACCTAGTGCAGTTGGCCAATGACTTTGGAACTTCTCCGGCGAGTAGGTTGTCCCCCAAAACAAGCACCTTTAGATTGCATCCTGCAAGGTAGGGTTGAGGAATCTCGCCTGTAAATTTATTGCCATCTAGTTTGAGCAATTCCAAAGAAGCGCTCAGCTGACTCCCCAGGCATGGAAGAAGCCTCCCACTTAAGTTGTTATGAGACAAGTCAAGGTATGAAGGATGGGAGGTGATGAAGATGCTACAGATGTCTGGCCATATCTCCCCCTCCAATTCATTGTTGGAGAGATCCAAGTGCTGAATGGAAGGTGGAGGTATTGGAAGGTTACCTTGCAGCAAGTTGGAACCCAAGCGTAGTATTTTGGCCTTGGTCCACGGAACTACTAGAGAGCTCGGCCTGCTGCTAGCATTGATATCACTAGTACTTCCACTCGATCCAGTTATTATCGAAACGGTTGGTCCCTCAAACCCAGTGAGGAAGTTCCCCGAAAGATCTATGTACTCCAAGCTATCCTGATTCGCAGACCACAGCCATTCAGGGATCTCCCCGTGAATGTTATTGTTCGACAAATCCAGTGACACGAGCTCATTTTCGTGCCTCAACATCTCTGGGAAGCGGCCTATGTTGCAGGACCCCAGATCCAATGCTATGAACTTCTTCCGGTGATGAGTAGTAGTAATGCTACTAGTGTCGTTGAAGAAGAAGAGCAAGGATATGTTAAGGTTTCCTGTCAGCGACAGGGCATCCAAGCTTTGCAAGTCGAGGAAGTCATTGAAGTCCAGGGCACCAGTCAGGTTGTTGCTGCTCAGGCCGAGCTGTTGAAGGTGTCGGAGCGCAAAGATGGAAGTGCTAGGGAACTGGCCGGAGATGTGACATTCGTGCATGTACAAATGGGAGAGGTTGGTCAAGTTGGCAAGATAAGTTGGGAAATCTCCGACCAAGGGGATATATGAGAGACCCAAATAGTACAAGTTGGTGGTCCGCTTCCCAATCCACGAGAAGAAGGAAAAATCATGTGGCTCGAAGTTGTTCTTCGAAAGGCTCAAGAACGCGAGGTTGGTAAGGTTACCTAGTGACACCGGGAGCGTCCCGTGGAAGGCACAGTGCCACAAGTTCACCGCGCTCAGCGAGGCCAGATTCCCGATGGACGTTGGCACAGTCCCGGAGAAATTCGTGTAGTGAAGATCCAGACTCTGGAGTGGGCTTGTGGAGTTGAAATCTTCAACTAGTTGGCCTTTGAGACCAAGATTCAACCCCAAGGAAAGGAGCTGCAGGTTCGGGAGGTGGAAAATGGTGGAAGGAAGTTCACCGTATAACCCGCAGTTGCTGAGGTTGAGAAATTCGAGAGAAGTGAGGTTGACCAGATCATGACCACCACCATGGGTGCTTGACATGTCGACTGACATGTTCACCGACCCGAGGTTGAGGTGCTGCAATCTGGTTGAGTTGCGGATTAGGTCGACGAACGCATACTTTCCAAGCACCAAGTTGTCATTGTCGGAGAGGTCAAGGACCACGATCTTGGACAGCTGCGAGATGGATGGTGGGATTCGAGCAGAGAAGGAAGCAGAAGAGAGGTTGAGAGACTCCAAATGGGTCAATCGCGCCACTGCAGAGGGTACGGGAGAGTGGTTGAAGTTGTTGTTGGCCAGGTTCAGGCGGCGGAGCTGAGGGAGGTGGAAATGGGTTGACGAAGAGTTGATGGAGCCATGCAAGCAACTGGAGCTGAGATCGAGGCCGATGATATGGCCCGAGGACTCGTCGCAATCGACACCGTCCCAGTCGCAGCAGTTGAAGCTAGCCATCCATGACTGCAGCTTATTACGACATCTAGTTTCAACATCACTTTTGATCGTAAAATCCTGCGTAAATTTCAAGAGCGAAGACCTCTCCTCCTCATGACACAGATTATAAGCAGTGGCGGTGGAAATGACACCAAACCAGAGTGCTACTGAGAGGACAAGAATGGTGGCGAGCATGCATCTGGGACGACAGTACAAGGACAAGGATGGACATTTCATGTTTGACCCAAAGAATGATTATCGATCTTTTTTTTTTTTTTTTGTGTTTCTTTCTTTTGCTTTTTCTTATCGGTTGGGAGCTTGTGTATAAATGTTTTTGCGGAATCCATGCACAGATGCACTGCAGCAGCTAGCTAATCATAATTAATGGAAGAATTAGTCTTCGATATATACATCAAGACTCGAGACTTAATCTCCACCAGCCAAACACTGAAATTAAGCATGCAGCGTAACGCTGGCTTGATCCCGTTCACTAATTATGGTTTCGTTTCATTTAAGATGTGACCGTACTCTCTTGCCTGTCTCGGACGCAACGCAAGGGTAGACTTTGACTACGTACCCCAAATTCCAAATGGACGCCGGCTTCCACACGCAGCACAGCAGGTCTACTACTGTCCAAAGCATTAAGAAGTCTGAGAAAGTTGTCCTTTTACTGCCTTTCACCCTCAGAAAGGAATGAGCTTGGAAGTCTGAGAAATTCCCAAATGTACACGCACCTGTAGGTAGACAAGTAGGGATGGGAACAAAACTCGAACCCACGGATACCCTACCTCACTTATAGCGGCGGAGCTAGAATTCAAAAATATCCGTGTCCTCTTTTCATAATATAAATAGATAATTAATATAATTAAAACTAATATCTAACCATTTCATTTAAAATTATATGTGTCATCTTTTAAGCAAGAATTAGCTTGTAGTGTAGTGGTAAAACACTTTCAATCAAGCTAGAGGGTATTTTTTTTTCACCCGCAAAAGTACCGGTGTCCCGGGACACTGCCCGGACCCCCTGCCTCCGCCTTTGTCGACCCAACCCGATGAACGCGGGTAAAACCCGTGTTGACGGATTTTAGGCAGAGTATGGGTTTAAACTCATAATACTATTCACGGGTTGGGTTTGAGTTTAGGTATACCCGCCCATACAAATATAATTAATTTTCCCAATATGTTTAATATTCTAAGCAATTAATCTTCTTTATGTTTGTAGAGACATGTCGAATTTGTTCTTTCTAATTGTGTAGAATGAAGTTGATATTATAGGGTGGAGAGTGAAAAAGTTTAGTTGAGAAGAAGAAGAAGCTTTCAATTAATCATGTTGTTCATGGATAATTTGTGATTTGCTTCAATTTTTTTGAGTTTTCTAGATTGGTGTTGAACAATATGTATGGTTAATTTGTGATTTGCTAAAAATTTTCTAGATGGTGTTTTATGTATGGATAATTTGTATGGAGAAATTGATATTTGACTTTTATTTTGATAAAAACTTGTTATTGTATATTTTTTTATGACAAAAACCTATGGGGACTCATGAACCCGTGGATACCCAGCGAGTTGGGTTGGGTTTGAGTTTTCCAAACCCAGTGAGTTTTACCCGGAGTTTTTTTCACGGATAAACCCATGGATTTGGATTTGGGTTTGTACAACCTCTTCATTTTCAAACAACAAACTAGGTTTTGGACTCGTGCTTCGTGGCCGTAATAAATTATTAGGTGTCGTTTGGACGAGGAATTGTAACGGATCAATTTGACACAATTGTCCCGTTTTGAGACAATTGTACCACATTGCCTCGTTTGCCAGCAAAAAATTTAGATGGATCAATCTGCCTGAGGTATTTTGAATTGATCCGTTTTGAGTCAATTTCAATTACATGGGGTGCGGGCAGGTAATTCAAATTGACTCGTTTTAATTGCCTCATTTATAAAATGAGACAATTGATCAAATTGACTAATTTCTAGATTGATCCATCCAAACGACCCCTTAAAATTTTATCGACTCGTTTAATTGAAATAAAACTTATTCACAAAATAGTTCGGGTAAGACCCTTTCATAATGTATTTTTAATTTACATAACTGTTAACGGTGTTACGTAAATCTTCTGTATTAATAAAATATCAAGTAAAAAATAAGTCTCGCATTTATTAATTATTATTATTATCATAATGTAAATTTAACTTATGTGACAAACATTTAATTTGTGTAATGCAACTTGATGAGATGTTGAATATAGTATGTAATAGTAAAGGATTTTCAGAATAATAAGTGAATTAAGTAATAAAAAGTATCACATTTGATTAAAGTGTTATGTAAAAAATAACTTATCTTGCAAAACTTTTGTGTGATGCAAATTGATGAGACGATCATTTGTTTATTTAATAATTTTGGAAGTTTTGTTGAAACTTATATCGCGAAAGACTTACATAATATGTTTGTTTAATTGATACATAAGAAATTATTATATCTCCATAAGATTTACATTGTCTTAGTCGTTACGAGATATTTATGTAATACCCTTTTAAATCAGTACATAAGGAATAACTATCTCTCTTTAAGATTTACATGATGTATTTGTCATTTACGTAATTGTTATAACGATGTTACGTAAATCTTCTGTATTGTGTGGTCTAATAATAAGATCAACTTATTAGAAGTATCACATTTGATTAAATGACAATGTGAAAGTTAACTTACCTTACATAACTTGTACGTAATTTATTTGTAACACATAAATGTTTTATAATGTGTAATGCAAATTGATGAGATGGTGAACATTGTAGTTAATAATAAGGTCTACGTAATATGTTTGTCAGATGAGATGATAAAACAATTTAGTTACAGACCGTTTGGCACCAAATGAATCGAGAATTCATTTCATTGTAAAATGAATTACCGTGTAGAATTATTGTCAAATGAAATCTTGTGTTTGGTATGTCATATTCAAATCTTTAGAAAGAAAATGAATTGACGTGTATAATTCATTGTCAAATGAATTCCTGTGTTTGGTATATCATATGTATAAGTAATTTAGTTAATAAAAGAGTAATTTAGTAAATACTTGTGGAATTCATTTGGAAATTTCATCTCAATTCCTTGGAATTGCTATAACTAGCTCAAATTCCGTAGAATTCCAAATTTAGAATTGAAAATGAATTCTTTTAAATAACAAACACAAAAATGAATTCATTTCAAAATGAATTCTTCAAAACTTATGGAATTCATTTATACCAAATGGTATGTAATACACAATTGACTGTCGTAACTCAGAGTAATTCTATCGCCGCACTGATCTCCACCAGCAATCCATGATGACGAATAAGCGGCGAAAGCGAACAACCTCCCCCGCCGTCGTCCCCTGCGAGGACCGAATCTCAGCTTTGCCGGACGAAGTCCTCCACTGCATCATCCGCCGCTTAGAATCCCACCGGCAATTGGCGCAGACCACCGCAATCTCCAACCGCTGGCGAAACCTCTGGCGCTCGTACCCAGTCGTGGAGTTCGACGCCGACTGGCAGACGAAGAACAGCTCCATCCGGTCAAACAAGTACCTCGAGAATTTCTGCGCCACCGCGATCAATAAGTTCTCCCAACACAAGGAATTCTTCCGGATCGAAACCTCAAGGTATAGATTAGACTCGACCACTACGTCGGCAGCCGCTCCCCTGTTCTCCAACGGCTACTGGATTTTGCGTGGCAGAGGAAATTCCAAGAGTTCGCCATCAAGTTTGAGTGCGCGGACAACACAAACCAACACCCCTTCACCTTACCCGTCCGAGGATCTTTCATCCCGCCGGCCGCTTTTGCCGGAAAAAATCCCAAGTTACACATGTTTTTAAAAAAAAAATCTCAAAAAAATACACACGTTATGAAAATAATTTCCAATCTACGCATGTTAGGGCCTTCACCACGTTAGAGCAAAGTGGTGATTGCTTCACCGCGTCAGAGCAAAGCGGTGATTGTATCACCGCTGTAGAGGAAGGCGGTGATTGCATCACCGCTCTAGAGAAAGGCGGTGAAGGCCTGACCTGCGTCAAAACTTAAAAAAAAAACATAACTTTGTGCTTGGTTATCCAATCGTAGCGTAATTTTTTTTTATTCTGCATAAATTTTCGAGATCTTGCAAGCCGCAAACGGCCGTAGGCGGTTTGGTCCCGCCTTCGTCGCGAAAAAATGTCGTTTCCCGAACGAGCCTTTTTTCGATTTCGTCAAACTTTGAACGACCATAACTTTGTGCTCCACAATCCGAAAATCATGAATTTTTTTTTATTTCGCATAGCTTTTTAAGGACTTTAATTTTTATCATAGACATAATTTAGGAATGTACTTGGATTCCTGAAATGGGAAGGTAAAGTTATTCCCAAAACCCCTTATATCCATAAATAATTCATTTTTTGAAAATTATCTCCTACTAAAAATTGTAGTCCTTAAAAAGTTATGCGAAACAAAAAAAATTCATGATTTTCAGATTGTGGAGCACAAAGTTATGGTCGTTCAAAGTTTGACGAAATCGAAAAAAGGCTGTTCGGGGTAGCAAACGACATTTTTTCTAGACGAAGGCGGGACTACGGCGGTTTGCGGCTTGCAAGATCTCGAAAAATTATGCGGAATAAAAAAAATTACGCTACGATCGGATAACCGAGCACAAAGTTACGTTTGTTTAAAGTTTCGACGTAGGTCAGGCCTTCACCGCGGCCGTTTAATGCGGTGAAACATTCACCGTCTTCGTCGACAGCGGTGATGCAATCACCGTCTTTCTCTACACCGGTGATGCAATCACCGCCCTTCTTTCACGCGGTGATGCAATCACTGCCTTGCTCTGACGCGGTGAAGCAATCACCGCCCTCCTCTGACGCGGTGAAGGCCCAAACATGCGTAAATTGGGAATTATTTTCATAACGTGTGTATTTTGAGAATTTTTTTTTAAAACATGTGTATCTTGGGATTTTTCCGCTTCCGCTCCTGTTCTGTGAACTCCCTCAGATCCCTCCGGCTGGAATGCGTGTCGATCGACGACCAGCTATTTGTCAATTTAATCGCCAGCTCTCACCTCCTCGAAACCCTAGAACTCGATGCACTTTCAGGGGTGAGGAAAATCCAGATTTCCAACAACCTGAAGACACTCAGAATCGTGACTCCGGTCGGTTCTAAGGAAATCGAGATCGCTGCTCCTTTGCTCGAGTCTCTGCATCTCAAGGGGCTTAATTGGGGATCCACGATCGGGTTAACCGTGGCTCCCCAGCTCAGGTTCCTCGAATTCGGAGGCATTGCGGCACATTTCAGCGCGGTGATCGCCAAGCTGCCGTCTCTCATGTCGCTGATCCTGCATGGTGGGCCTGACAGGAAGGTGAGGTTCTCGAGCCTGCCGCAGCTCGAGGAATTCAAGCTGGTCGTTGGGGCGGAGTCGGAGTTGGAGGAGATCCAGGTTGATGTTGCTGGTGGAGCTGGTGGTGGTTGTCCCTGCAGTCTGATGAAGTTTGTGCTATGCTGTCAGGACCGGTTTCCTGACGGGTTCAGGAAATGCGAAATTCGCAACGCTGTGAGTTGTGAGTGGGAATCCTTTATTTAATCTTTGTTTTGCATGTATCTCTCTAAACAAGGTCGAATGTACTATTGGTCTGAACGTTGATCCTAATTTTTTTTTTAATTTGACTTCAACGAATTTGATTCGGATCGTTGCACACCAAGTTCTTATAACAATAGTTGTTATTAAAACTGACAGTGTGTGCACACATATGACTAATGGATGCACGCCTAGCTAGGGTTTAATAGGAAAAGATAACGTATAAAGATGGTGTAGGTGTTGCTAGAAATGATTGTTTTTTCTCAACTCCCCCTTTGGAATTCACTCAAAAGAGTGTACTGAGAGAATCCGTTCAACAAACACAAAGACTTGAGTGAATCGCATTCAATTATATACATTAATACTAAACGAGGCCTGAAGAAGTGTAACTGTACACTTTTTTCAGTTTTTGGTTGTCGCTTTCCATAATTTCTTCAAAATTACCAATTAAACAAGGTTTTTGTTTTCTACTATGCTATATAGCATTGTAAAATTCCTCATTTTTATGTTGTTGTGGTTGTAGTTGTAGTGGGAACTCTAATGCAACCGCAACAACAGTAACAAAACTTTTAGCGTTGAAGTTTATGCAGATTTGTTATTGTTTGACTCCTCCCTGTTGGCTTGTACAAGGTTGCTTTCTTTCCGGAAAAAGTGGGAGCCGTTGCAAGGGCAACAGCGATCAAGCACTTGAAGCTGGAGACGAAATCGCCGCTGACCAACGCTAAGATCGTCCTTTTGGACGGCGCGTTCTAGGTGTGCCGTCCCAAGTTCCTGACCATAGTTCGCAGAGCCTTGACGTCAAAAGAGTTCTTCAGAACTCTTTTGGGTCTCATTTCGCGGAAACTGTTGGGAATGAATAGCTTTGAAAGCTATATTGAATTAATTATCCAGTATTCTTTCTAGATACGGAAATAAGATGGATAATTAATAAAAGGAATATTATAGAGATAATTAGGAATAATTATCTTAATAGATTATATTTTAATTATGGGAGTAATTATCTCCCTAATTAAAATATGACTTATTCCCAAAGAAAGAGGGAATATTCTGGGTTTTCTGCTCCTATAAATAGGAGACGCCCCAGACCCTCTTAACACACCTCAGAAGAGCAGAAACACGAGAGAGAGTGAATTCATAGAGCTCCGGTTTTCCGCACAAAACCGATGAGCAATAAATAAGAGTGGCTGTTTTATCCTGGAGGCGACCGGCTGATAGTCTGCTGTGCGCATTACGAGGCAGTGCCGCGAACGTCTTAAAGAGAGCGACCTAGTCCGCGACTCAGCCAGATCGGTAACCCTAATTTTTTCCTGTTCGGTTACTAACAATTTTAAGACGTTTGGTTGCTGTCGTGTGTACCGAACAGATTGATTGTCGGATCTGGTTTCGTTAGTAGCAAAGTGGTAGCGATGTGCTTGGCTGCTTGCCCCACAATTCGATGCTTTCAGGATCGCTCCCTTGGAGGCGGAAAGCCGCCAAAAGGCTCATCTCCGTACAGCCGGTCGAGAGCCACTGGGAAGAAGAACAGGGCATGGACCCTGTAATTTGCAGCGCGTGCATGATGGGAATCAGTAGATTTGCTGGGTCAATATATCCCTCTTTCAACTTTTATGATTTTTGATTAATGCTTTTGTTGCCCTTGGCCGTGCAACAGAGAAGGGAAAAGAATGCAGCCATTTATATGTGAATTTTTACGGGCGCATATATGTCACTAATGATTTGCTATATATGTCTTGGATTTTTGTCTGCTAGCAATATTACACCACTGGTCCTGCAATCGGGAAGAGGTTTTGTTTTGTTTTCATTCATTTGCAGGAGCAGCCGAACCTATTTTGTTTGAATCAACTAATTGCTGTTCATTGGTGGGTTCGGCGGAAAAAGAATAAAAAGATACGCACAAACTGGTAAAACAAGAGGAAGGAAGCGGTGGCATAATTGTGTTGCCTCTGACGATATTGTGCCCTTCAGTTCCGTCCTGGGCCAATGGAGAGAGTGCCCCGGTCCAATTAATTGATCCGGCCAACTAGCCACCAGCAAAAGCAAAGTGGGTTGCTTCCCTTTTATGGTATTTGTGCAGGCCCAAGTGGGTTCCAGGCCGCGGGAGTGGGAAGATGCTCTCGGACAAGGAATTATCAACTGGAAGCTAAGCCACGAGCTAGCTATTTGTTGAGAATTGGGAAGACTATGACTTCTCAAAAAAAAAAAGGTAAGAACTGAAATCTTTTTTGAGTCATTAATGAATGATATATAAAGAACCCATTCAAAATGATTCTATGCATGGAACTGAGAAATCTTGTGAAGCAATCTAGAATTGATGCATGATTATGTTGACATTGAGATGTGTTTTCCTCAATGTTTAGAGTATAAATTGAATACATATTGTGGAGTAGAATTATTTTGTTTAAATGCGTGCATATATATGAAGAACATATGGGAATAGAATGGGTTAATTGCCTATAGTGACGGTATTGTAAGAAGTATTGTTGTCAGTACTAGATGAACCATTTGGGTTGCTCTAAAACATTAAAGTTTCAAGAATGAGAGCATCAAGCCGAACCAGATACACGCCAAATAGAATGATACCCTTCGTGGTAACCATAAGATTGCCACTCAATCCTCTAAGAATGACGCTATGTTTCTCAATTAAATTTGAGAAAAACTAGGTCATATGACACGAAAGTGTTAGAGCAAGTTTAACATAGTATTGTGTTAACTTGATTAAAGAAGAGGATTTGGCAATAACAATCGCTTAGGTGATGATGACAGAGGTTAGCCTTATTGTTAACTCTGGAGAATGGTTGCTGGATATTGACGCCTCAAGGCATGCTTCTGATAAAGTAGCTAAGCTCAATATTGCATTGAGGCATATTGAACGAGAAAGTGTTGTTGGGCAAGACCCGCACCATTATTGTTGTTGGTTCTGGCAAAGTGGAAGAGAGCCCTACCTCTAGAAAGTATTGACTATCCTAGACGTAAGGAATGGTTAAGTAGATAAGATAAATTCTTCCAAGAGTGTCTGTGTGAAGAATTAGAATATCTTATATCACATTCCCATATTATTATTGGATGCTTGAGAAAAATATGAATTTTGTATTTCCAAGCTAAATGACCCATAAATAAGTGATTAGATAATCATAATCAATAGATCTGATTTATTTTGATATGGGTAAATGTGATGGAAAGGCAATAATTTATTTATTGTTTTATAGAGTACTCTGATTGTATACTAGTTACTTGAGATGCTCGTGTTGGAAATGTTTTATCGCATTATTGATGATTGCACTGATTATTTGATATGTTGCAAAGTTATAGAATCAGTGTAATATGATATCGATATCTAGTAGAGCATATGAATGTGTTAGATAAGCTATAATAAAACACATAAGTTTATGGAATGAAATACTCATTGTTATGTGGAATCCATTGATGTCATTCCATTTAAATCTAGAAATAGTGGGGGTGATATCTTGCCTGCTATTAGAAATAATGGATAACTAGTGGGGGTAATGAATCTGAGTATGAACTCAGAAGAGACAAATGAACCATAAATCACGAAAGGATTTTTGGTTATGAATTTGTTGTTTACACCATAAGAAAGAAAGATCCTACAAGTCTGCTAGAAGTTCGAACTTCCATAAAGATGCAGAATTGTGGGAGAATCCATTATTAACGAAATGGAATTATTGGAGTCTAATAAGACTTAAAATCTTGTAGAGTTACCTCTTGGCTATAAAGCCTTGGGTAATTTATCGATAGAATCAAAAAAGATTTGGCATCTTTGAGAATTACCTCTTGGCAATGAAGTCATGGGTAATAAATGGATTCTTAAAAGAAAAGTGAAACCTATTGGTTTAGTTTATGAGTATAAGGATCGCCTAATAGCTAAGGCTTTAAGCGAAAAGGAAAAAAATTGTAAATTTTCTTGTTATCTATTCACCATATGTATGTTCTGATTGCTAGTGTTGTGCGTCAGATAGATTGTTAAACATGTTTCTGTGAATGGTGATTTAGATAGGAAAATCTACATGGGACAACCTATAGGGTTGTTATTCCTGAACATGCTTAGGGAGTCTATAGTTAGACAAATCATTGTAAGATTTGAAATAGACTCTAAGACGATGGCATGAATAAACTGGTTATCTCTCATGGTTTTAAAAGTGAAAGTGACAAGTGCATTTAGTACAAATCTGAGAATGACACTTGCATAATGAATGACACGTCGATCTTTGGTACAAAGACGCGTGATGTCGATATGAAAAAAACCATGTTTGAGATTTTGAATGTTCTCGATGAAGCTTGAGTAAGCTAGGAGATCCATGTAACTATGACAATGAATAGATTTCCTCTAGATCAGTTTAACTACATAGTTAAGATCTAGAAGAAATACAAGCAGTATGCCTGCATAAATGGTTGATGATGCTAGTGTAAATATTAAAGAACACTGGAAACAGTGTGAGAAACTGAGAAAGTTAGAATATACTAGCATTGACAGTCTGCATGAGGCAGCTGGTAAACATGAGACCCGATTTAGTGGGGGTACTTGACAGGCTTACTGATTGTCCTAGTATGAAGCATTGAAATGCTATTGAAAGGGGTCATGAGACACCTTAAGAGAACAGTATACCTTGATATAAGTTATCAACGGTTTCGTACTGTATTGGTAGTGTATATTGATGCGGATGAGAATACCCTATAGAGGCTCCAAGATAACCAGAAGCTATGTTTTAAACATCGATAGAGAAGTTCTGTCTTGAAAGTCTAAGAAAAATAAGTAAACGATCTTGGCTCAATCAACTATGGAGTCAGAAATGATAGAACTAGCAATGGCTAGTAAAGAAGAAAGTTGATTGAGAGGGTCATTACTAGAGATTCCCTTACGGGAAAGACCGTATCCGCCGGTATTGATCCATTGCGATAGCAATTGCTAGATAGAACCGTAACAAACGGTGAGAGGCGACAAGTTCGTCATAAGAATAGTACTGGAAGAGAGAGTCCTTAACTGTTGGAGC